TACTACATGTACTACTACAACTACTACTGGTACTACAACTACTACAGTTACTACTTCTACTACTACTCCTTCCATTGTGATCGTTCCCATTTCCAGGTGAATGATCCCAAACGTTTAAAGCTGGAGCCGCCGTCACTCTCTGCCTCCTCCTGTTCCTAGTGTTTATAATAAACATGGTATTAATACTGTTACTAGAAGTACTACGTCACATGGTGCAGAGTCGGGAAGCACAGACCTGGTAACGGTCCGCTCAGCTCTAACCGGGGCTTTGGGAGTCCGCCGTAATGGGAAATGTAATAATGGTTCAAAGAAATTACATAAGTCAGCTTTAAGATTGACTTAAATTGTTCCCAGCAGAGACCAACCACAAACTCCAGGTCTGATATAGTGGTATTATATACACATTTTTTAAAGGTTTTTTAATATATATATTTTTTAGTATTTCTTCCATGCATAATATTGTTTTGCATTTGTGGCATTAAACTTCTTGTTTTTTGCAATTGACTTTTGTATTGTATTTAGAACACTCAGATTTTGATGCTTATTGTTTACTATTATTTAGAATTGTAATATTTATCTCAAAATAATAATACTTTTTTATGGGGCCATGAGGTTTTCTGTTATTGTTTAATAATGTAGGTAAAATGTTGTACTGAATTTATAAACGTATTTAGTATCTGTACTTGAAATGTCTACATTCTTTTTATATTAGCTTTAGTCTTTTGATACTAGCTTTAGCCTTTTGATACTAGCTTTAGCCTTTTGATACTAGCTTTAGCCTTTTGATACTAGCTTTAGCCTTTTGATACTAGCTTTAGCCTTTTGATACTAGCTTTAGCCTTTTGATACTAGCTTTAGCCTTTTAATATTAGCTTTAGCCTTTTGATACTAGCTTTAGCCTTTTGATACTAGCTTTAGCCATTTTGATACTAGCTTTAGCCTTTTAATACTAGCTTTAGCCTTTTAATACTAGCTTTAGCCTTTTGATACAAGCTTTAGCCTTTTGATACTAGCTTTAGCCTTTTTATACTAGCTTTAGCCTTTTGATACAAGCTTTAGCCTTTTTATACTAGCTTTAGCCTTTTGATACTAGCTTTAGCCTTTTGATACTAGCTTTAGCCTTTTGATACTAGCTTTAGCCTTTTAATATTAGCTTTAGCCTTTTGATACTAGCTTTAGCCTTTTGATACAAGCTTTAGCCTTTTGATACTAGCTTTAGCCTTTTTATACTAGCTTTAGCCTTTTGATACTAGCTTTAGCCTTTTGATACTAGCTTTAGCCTTTTGATACTAGCTTTAGCCTTTTGATACTAGCTTTAGCCTTTTAATACTAGCTTTAGCCTTTTGATACTAGCTTTAGCCTTTTAATACTAGCTTTAGCCTTGATTAGCATCTGATTTTTGATGCTTTTGAGAATCCGAGTACAATAACAGTCATTTTTGTTGTTGAAAAAATGGCTGTAACCAATGACATACTGTGGGTTAGTATAAATATTTTCTATGATTCTTATCTAGACAGAAAAAGCAAGTTTAATTAGCTACAATTATATAACTATATTTTAACAAGATGTCCGTCAAGTGAGGTTGGTTTGAACCTTTTCTGTCATTCTGCCCATTGGCAACACACTCCGGCATCTAAAAACACCACAGATTTTTCATGAAATTCAACGTATTTTTGTATAGCTCTAAATCACAGCAGTAGTTTTCTGGGTGGACTTTACAAAACTGTTGATTTTGCCAACACAGATCAGAGAATCAAACAGCTCAGGAAATGCAATGATAGAAAACACACAGAGACATAAATATCGATAAAGTCCATCCATCAATCAATCTTTATTTATAGGGCGCTTTTCCTGCACAGGGCAACACAAAGCGCCTCACAGTCCACACCACACAATGCACAAATCATCACCATTAAAATATAATTAAAAACACATATGTAATTAAAAAGCATTAAAATCACATAAGTAATTTAAAAACATAAGAATCACACAAGTAATTAAAAACAATAAAATAGTTAAAAACACAAAAAGTTACAACAATAAATAACAAGGTGTGTTAAAAAGATAAAATTCTTTAGTTGTATGCACAGGAAAAAAGAAAAGTCTTTAAAATGGATTTGAACATCGACAGAGAGGCAGCCAGTCTCACATCCTCAGGAATACTGTTCCAGACTTTAGCTGCACAAATCTGAAAAGCAGCCTCCCCCTGTCTAGTGCTGACTCTGGGCACTAACAGGAGTCCCGTCCCTGCGCTCCTCAGAGTCCGGGCTGGTTCATATGGGACTAGCATATCATGGATGTACTTTGGTGCGAGGCCATAAACGTGTCTGAATGTGGAGAGTCCTGGACCATCACCTCTGTCCTTGTACCTGTAACAAGGACAAAATAATGACAGTGTCCAGAGGAGGCCGTCGCTGGTCCAGAGACTGCTCCAGAGACTGCTCCAGAGACTGGTCCAGAGACTTTGTAAATCCAGGCGGAGATCCCCCAAAAACAATAACGCAGGTTCTGGGAAGAGGACCAGCCGCGGTGCTCAGAAGTGACTGCAGACCCGGCTCTTATTAAAACACATTGTTAGGTTGGAGGACGTGGAGAGGAGCCGTGGGCGCAGAGAAAACAACAGTCCGGATTAATAAAAACGATGAGTGCGTCTCAACATGCGGTGAGAGAGCTTTTTGGAGTGGTACTATAGAGTCGAATTGGTGATAAATGAGAAAACTGGACTAATAATCTTAACTAAATATTATGACCTATTGAGGCTTTGATTTTATGATCTATATAAGTGACTTTTAACGTTATATCGGTTTCAATCTCTGCTATGTTTTTTGCAATTTTTGATTCATAAATCTTGTCTTCATGAACATTTCTCTTCAAAATCATTACCAACCCTGGTTCTGACGGATACACACCCGATTTAAGCCATAATTAGCCCAAAAGTACGACTATACTCTATGGTCTCCGCTCTCTGGGCTCTCTGATCTCTCTCTGGTCTCATCTCTCTGGTCTCTCCCTGGGCTCTCTCTGGTCTCTCTCTGGTCTCTCTCTCTGGGCTCTTCTCTCTGGGCTCTCTGATCTCTCTCTGTAGCCTGTCTCTGGTCTCTCTCTGGTCTATTCTCTCTTGGCTCTCCCTGGTCTCTCTCTGGTCTCTCTCTGTAGCCTGTCTCTGGTCTCTCTCTGGTCTCTCTCTGGTGTCTCTCTGGTGTCTCTCCCTGGTCTCTCTCTCTGGTCTCTCTCTGGTCTCTCTCCCTGGTCTCTCTCTGGTCTCTCTCTGTAGCCTGTCTCTGGTCTCTCTCTGGTCTCGCTCCCTGGTCTCTCTCTGGTCTCTCTCTGGTCTCTCTCTGGTCTCTCTCTGGTCTCTCTCTGGTCTCTCTCCCTGAGCTCTCTCTGGTCTCTCTCTGGTCTCTCTCCCTGGTCTCTCTCTGGTCTCTCTCTGGTCTCTCTCTGGTCTCTCTCTCTGGTCTCTCTCCCTGGTCTCTCTCTGGTCTCTCCCTGGTCTCTCTCTGGTCTCTCTCTGGTCTCTCTCCCTGGTCTCTCCCTGGTCTCTCTCTGGTCTCTCTCTGGTCTCTCTCTGGTCTCTCTCTGGTCTCTCTCTGGTCTCTCTCTGGTGTCTCTCCCTGGTCTCTCTCTGGTCTCTCTCTGGTCTCTCTCTGGTCTCTCTCTGGTCTCTTCTCTCTGGTCTCCCTCTCTATGGTCTTTCACTGGTCTCTCTCCTTCTCTCTGCCTATGTCTTCCTCTCCCTCTCTCGTTCTCTCTCCCTCCCCCTCCCTCTCTCCCTCTCTCTCTCTCTCTCTCTCTCTTCCCTATACTTCCAACAGCGACAGTGCAGCGCCCCCATGTGTCAGGTAAATCAGGCTGTGTCAGAAGCTAGCTCTGTGTAGCATATCTTTGGACAGAACAACACGTCTCTGAGCATAAATATCTGCGGTGTCGAATATGGTCGGTCTGAAAACCCGCCGCAGGAAGCACAGGTCCAAATGTTGAGCTCTCGTCTCTTTAGGAGCATTTTAAACATTTGTTTTCGCCCCCGGAGGGATGAAGAATGTCCACAGCACGGCCATGTTTTTGTAAGATACTGTGGAGGGAAGCCACATGTGCACAGCTGGGACTGTCCCGGAGCAGCCCACCCACCGGACCAGGGATGCATCCTTCAACAGCAGAGAGGGGGTGGGGGAGAGGGGGGAGAGGAGAGAGAGGGGGAGAGAGAGGGGAGAGAGAGGGGGAGAGAGAGGGGGGAGAGAGAGGAGAGGGTTAAGAGAGGAAAGAGGAGAGAGAGGGGGGAAAGGAGAGAGAGGGGAGAGAAGGGAAGAGGAGAAAGAAGAGGGGGGAGAGATAGAGGAGAGAGGGAAGAGAGGGGGGAAAGGAGAGGAGGGGGGGGAGAGAAAGGGGAGAGAGGGGGAGAGGAAAGATAGGGGAGAAGGTTGAGAAAGGAGAGAGAGGAGTGAGGGGGGGAGACAGCTGAGAGAGGGAAAGGAGAGAGAGGAGAGAGAGGAGAGAGGGGAGAAAGGAGAGAGGGGAGAGCAAAGAGAGGGTAGAGAGAGAGGAGTGAGCAGATAGAGGGGGAGAGAAGATAAAGGATAGAGGGAGAATAGAGAGAGGATAGAGAAGAAAGGGGAGAGAGGAGAAAAGAGAGAGGAGAGAGGGAAGAAAAGCTGGAGAGAAAGAAAAGATGGGACAGAAGAGAGGGGAGAAAGACGTGGAGAAGGAGGAGAAAGGGGTGAGCAAAGGGAGAAAAAAGATTAGAGAGGAGAGAGAAGAAAGAGGAGAGAGGAAGCAAAGAGATGAGAGAGGAGAGGTTACTGCTGTCAGCGACTGAGGCTCAATGGCGCCCCCTGCTGGACACACATAGACAGTACAATTACAGATGTATCATTTTTCCACCTTAGATGTCTATCTCTCTCTCTTTTGCTGAACTGCGCCACCAGGGGGCGATCACACCTCCTTTCCTAAGTCAAGTATACCGGAAAAATACTTGAGTGACGAGCTAAAATAACCCCCACCTTATGGATGCATCTTTCCCTCCCCCCTCCTTCCCCTCCCTCCCGTCTCTCCCTCCCTCTCCCCCCTCCCCTTTCTCCCCTCCTTCCCCTCTCTCTTCCTCTTTCCCTCTCTCCTTCTCTCCCCAATCTCTCCTCTCTCCCCCCTCCTTCCCCTCCCTCCCTTCTCTCCCCTCTCTCTCCTCCTCCTTCCCCTCCCTCCCTTCTCTCCCCTCTCTCCCCTACTCTCCACCCTCCTTCTCCTCCCTCCCTCTCCTCCCCTCCCCTCCTACATTCATTCTGACACATGCACAGACTTCACTTACTTCCACGTGAGCCGAGTGTAAAAACCATATTGACACCTGTAACCAATCCACACGGTCTCCCTGGTCATCCCTCACCCCCACCCCCCCTCACTCTCCCCCCCTCTTTATCTCCTCTACACTTGTCTATTTTTAGCCACGCAGCACTGGATGGCTCTGTTTTGCTTTGCTTAAGGTTGGACACATGTCAGAGAGAGGGTGGGGGGTGTTGGGGGTTTTAAATCATGTGGATTCTTCGCAGCCACGGGAGAGGAGAGAGCTGTGTTTGGATTTGGTTCGGGTGAAAAAGGTCAGATTTTCCTCCCAGATCAGGACACAGGAAGGAAAGGGATTTTTGTTTGAAGTTTTCAGATGTAAAGAAGTGAGAGAAGAGGTCGATCCGTGCCAATATTTCTCACTGTCATAAAGTGTGTATGCGTTTTCACACTGCAGAAAGTGATGGAAAATAAGTCAGATATTAGCTCAAGTTTGGCAAAATGTGTCTTAATCTGAGCACATTCTGACTGAGCCTTAAAACTCCTAATTGTGTCAAATTAAGATTAAAAAAAGATAAGATAGACTTCATTGATCTCACACAGGAGAAATGACAAAACACTTGATTTAAGCAAATATCACCTCATATTTATCATTTTTTGCAGTGAAGTGTCTTGCCCAAGGACACAGTATCATAGCCATTCAATGCGTGGTATCCCATCAGAGCACTGATCGGGCCCTGGCCTGCTTAGCTTTGGCAGCAGTGTTAACCACCAGATGAGATAAGAGAGGCTCTGGGCTCCAAAAGACAATTTTCGGGAGATTGTGGTAACTTTAGTTTTGGCCGTTTACTAATTTAGTAACTTTTCTAAATCAAGTTTCATAAATGAGACATACAGTACATGAGAGAGGGAGAGAGAAGAGGGAGAGAGAGAGGTAGAGGGGAGAGGGAGAGAAAGGGAGGGAGAAAGAGGGGGAGAGAGAGGTAGAGGGGAGAGGGAGAGAGAGAGAGAAGAGGGGGAGAAAGAGGGAGAGAGAAACAGGGGGAGAGGGAGAGGGGGGGAGAGAAAGAGAAAGACAGGGAGAGGGAGAGAGGTAGAGGTAGAGGGGAGAGGGAGAGAGAAAGAGGGGGAGAGGGAGAGAGGGAGGGAGAAAGGGAGGGAGAGAAGGAGAGAGGAAGAGGGGGTTGAGGGAGAGAGAGAGAGGGAGAGAGAGAGGGAGAGAGAGAGGGAGAGAGGGAGAGAGAGAAAAGGAGAGAGAGAGGGAGAGAGGGAGAGAAGGAGAGCTGGTGAGAAAGAGAGAGAGGGAGAGAAGGAGAGAGAGAGAGAGACATTTTTGTATCTTTTTGTTTTAAAAAGATACAGAAATGTCTTCCTTGTAATTAGGAAATAAAGCAAAAATAGGAAAAAGACTAAATGACTTTGTGTTGAATCTTGTTTAAAAACGATTTAGATTATTTCTTTGTTCTTGATCTTTTTTTTTTACAGTGTAATGATATATTTTCTCGACAGTCGAAGAACGCTGCTGCAGGAGTGAGAGCTCTGTCCAAAGTCTTTTTCAAAAACAAGCATTTACATTCTACCTGTTTTAAGTCTCCTTCCAACTTTTTTTCTGCTCATTTTCAGAAATAAACTCTTTCCACAGATTCCGTCTCAGTTTTGGGTCGGTTTGGATTTGTTCTGGAAGTGAAGTCTGGAGGTTTCAGAAATTAAATACTTTGAGTAGAACTTTCTCGACTGCGTGTTTATGAGTGTATACTGTATCTCAGCGTCGTAAATTCACTTTTGATGTTTCAAGACATTTTACTGGAATTGTCTGTAGAAATTGTGAAACAAAAGAAGTTCGTCAAATTCTGAAATGGTGTCTCAGGTGTTTAAAGCAGCAAAATGTAAGATTTTCAAGTCAAGTCATCATTAAAGGGCTGGACCCCGCCCCATCCTTCGAGCGACGCGTCCGTGAACACATCCACGTGAGACACGGCGCAGGGCAGAGTCACTCCGTCCCGCAATAGACCCGGAGTGAGCCAGAACCTGATGTTCGATGCTGCCACTTGGGGAACCCAGACCAGCCTCCCCCCGTCCCGGGAGGGGTGAAGCCTGAGGCGCGAGAACCACCTCTGAAAATTCCTCATGTGGAGAAGGCCTAGCCGCACCACAGCATGAGCCGCCGCCCTCATTCCCAGCAGGGACCTGAGGCGCCGAGCGGGGACTCTGGGGCCCGCCAGAACCTCCCTGGGCAGACGGGTAGTGCTCATCCGTCTGTCCACGGACAATGCAGCACGGAATGTCACAGAGTCTAGCTGCAGGCCGAGATAGAACATGCGCTGAGCCGGTTGCAGCCTGCTTCTACGTCATGGTGCTACGTCCCTTAGCGGAAATCGCTAGTGGGATAACACGTGCACCTAATCGTAGAACTTAAGTTACAATAGGTAACTATTAATTTTCTCCCTGTTCACCACAGAGCCCAGGCGCTGTATGTGGGACGGGACCCAGTGCGTGTGACACTTCCCTGGATGATGCCAGAATTAACCAGTCTTCTAAGTAGGTTAAATCCTTACCCCAGCGCGTCTGAGGACTTTTCCACGCATTGGAAAAATCCGAGGCGCGAGTGCATAAGTACTCGTAATTCCTCTCTCCCACTGCGAAGCGCAGAAACCTCCTGTGTTCTGGCACTAAGGGCACGTGGAAGTAAGCATCTGTCAGGTCTATGGAGGACATCCAGTCTCCCTCCCTGACACACTCGAGTAGTTGCTTTGTGGGCAGCATCCGAAACTTCCGTTTGGAAAGCACTCGTTTAACCCGCGCAGATCCAGAATGGGACGCACCCCGCCTGATTTCTTTGGCACTAAGAAGTAGGGGAGTACAGCCCCCTGGTGGCGTCCTGCGGGTCTACCTCCACTGCTGCGCCTCGACTCAGCAGAGAGGAGACCCCCGCTTGCAGTGCCTCTATCGATCCCCGTACCTGAGTGCGTACTGCCCGTACGCCTCGGAATGGTGGTGGCTTTTGGAAAAATTGCAGCGCGTAACCTCTGCGCAGAGTTTTCTCCAGCCAAATATCTGTCAGTAAGCCCTGCTCCCTCCAGATGCAGTAGAAATCTGTGAGGGGCGGAACGGGAGTTGGAACACGAGACGTCACGGCCCCGCCCCCTCCTGGTGTTCCTAGCAGGGAGGGGGGGTGGCTGAAAAGGCCGGGGGGGCCCCTGCGTCACACCGTGAGCGCCGAGGGCGGTCACGTGTTCTGCAGGTCCGACGTCATAAGTACGGGACTGCTCACCACACGTGACTCGGGTGCTGTGCCCCCCCCTGGCTCTTGCCTCATGGAGGGGGGGACAAGCCCCTGGATTGGGAAACCCCGTGTTAGCCTTGTAGCTCTGCTCACCACACGTGACACGGCTGCTGCGCCCCCCCTTGGCTCTTGCCTCATGGAGGGGGGGGACGAGCCCCTGGATTGGGAAACCCCGTGTTAGCCTTGTAGCTCAGAGATGCTAACACGCGTTCGGCCGGAGCACACACATTATCACATACCAGATCCCTCCGCCTGCCCTCTCTCCGGGAGGGCAAAACATGAACCCGTGAATCGGAGCCCGTGGCCTGCATAGCGCGCTGCACGCCCTTCTCTGGGGGCTGCAGGCCTAGCGGAGCCACGTTATATGCTCGAGAAGTAACACAATCAGAATTCAAATCATTTGACATGTTACATACCCCCAAATGAGACTCAGACAGCGAGTACTGATGAAATGCCGCACGGCTTTTATTGAAAGAATTCTTCCCACCCCGACCTCCTCTGTCATAGGGAGGTCAGCGGTGGGTGCGTTGCTCCCGCGAGCCACCCATGGGTCTGTCTGGACCCGGGGGCCTCGTTGAGGGGGGACGATGGATAACAGAGCGCGGATACGGGTCAGGATGCCTCCCGGGCCAACGTTCTCTGCCTCTGTCCCGGCTCCGTAATGGCTGGTGGGCCTCGCGCCTCGGTGCTAGGTGCGGGGCTAGCCTAGCCGAGTCTTTAGCTGCAGACTCCAGTCTCGCCACCAAGGCCTGCATGTCCGGGCCGAAGAGGGACATCTGAGAGGTGGGCAGGTCCAGCAGCTGCCTCCTCTCCGCCTCCCTGATATTAGCCAGCCCAAGCCAAGGTGCCTGGCCAGACTTGGGCTGCTGCCATGGAGCGGCCATCATCCACAGCTAGCGTCTGGCACATGCGCAGAGACGCAGCCGAGGTGGTCCTCGCCTGTGACAGGAGGTCTCCACTGAGCGCCTGTCCAGAAGAGAGAGCGCCATATCCAGGGCCCCCGTGATGAATGTCATGTTGTTAGTCAAAGCGAGGGCCTGTGCTGCATAGGCATAACATCTATCCAGCATCGCCAAGACATCCTGTCCCGCTCGGAGGGAAGGAGAGGTCTGGTGCCGGGCCACACGAATGCGGAGGGCTGCAGGGCCATGCGGACTGAATCCTGGACGTCCTGTCCCGCTCGGAGGGAAGGAGAGGTCTGGTGCCGGGCCACACGGGTACGGAGGGCTGCAGGGCCATGCGGACTGAATCCTCGATACCGGTCCAGGACCAGTCCTGCCCGCTGCAGTACATGTCGTACCCCAGAGCAGGCCTCTTGGCTGCTAGGGGCTTAGGCCACTCACGTGTCGCGTAATGGACGAACGTGTCCATCCGCGGGCACAACGTGGGTCGCATCCTCCTCCTTCCTCGAGTGGTGGCACCCACCGAGGTGAAGTCCTCCACCGTCTGGATCCAGTGACGACGTCCGACGCCGGAGGGCGAAGGGAACTCGGACGAACAAGGAAGACATCTCAGAATGAAGTAAGTACTGTGGTAGATCTCAAACGGCGCCAGAGTGAAAGAGGGGGTGCGGCCTTGTGCAGGGGCATTTATAGAGGAAGGTGGCTGGTGATTGGAGCAAATTATTTTGATCTCTCTGGCGTCTGTGACCTGGGGGTCACGTGATATCCCACTAGCGAAGTCCTAAGGGACGTAGCACCATGACGTAGAATGTATCTCAGCGTCGTAAATTCACTTTTGATGTTTCAAGACATT